CCTCACCGACCACCTCGGCGACCTCTCCGACCACCTCACCCGCGGATACACCACTCCAAGTCCCTACATGCCACGCGAACCAGTCACAGTGTGACACGTGTTAGCCCTGAACTAATCAGCCTTTATTATTTTCAGAAATGGATTTAATCTTCGGAAATTCATAACTAATTCATACGACCTCAGAAAAATACAAGACCAGGACCAAAATTCATCTAAAATCGAGCTCTATGCAATGAACCCATGTTTGAGTGTATTTGGCTCTTTTTGAATTTTTATTGCTTCTTTGTGCAATTCTATAGGCGTCGCTAACGCGACTATAATTCGATCGTATGCAGACTCAGAGAAGAACCAAACGGATGAGGACCAAGAGTACCGTGAGGAGTACGGGGACGACTTCACTGAAGGTGCCACATCCCACCCAATCTCGTAGCACCTATTACGCATGGCTAATATAGAGCTGCTATTGCTTTACTTTATTGTTATAATCACACTATGATAGGATTTGTATGGTAGTATGCTTATTTGATAGCCTTTACCTTGACGCAACCTTACCCCTGCTCACCCTGCTGTTAGGCTAGTCACACACTCGCTGCTATATTTCATTGCTTATTACTTATACTACGCTTGTACTACATTGATGCGTGGTGGAAACTGGTGTTATCTGGACTATGGGGAGAGTGCTGCGTGTGTGACTTAGGTGCGTGGAGGGTGAGGGTTGTGTTGACCAAGTTGGAGTATATGACGAGCCTAGGGCAAGTCTTATCGTGGGGTGCTACCTAGGCACCCCTGGAATGGATACCTGTGGTGGGTAAATGGTATATAAGGTGGCCCTAGGTGTGAACCTGTGATGGGAGGAGCCCGGGGTGGAGGTGCTGTGGTGGCACGGTAAATGGAAACCCTGATGAAGACATTCTGGCTTGGTCATCCCTAAGGACTTACTAGTACTCAGATTCACCGGGAAGCCTTACGTACCACTCGCCCTATATGGTGCGGGACGACCGGACTACTGGGTAGGATATTGCCACTACTGCTAGGTTGATAGCGGACAGTGTGAGGAAAGTACGGGGCACGGAGGTTTCCCCCCACACCCTTCCGAGACTTCATGGAGACCTTGTGGACCCGGCTCATGACTCATAGTTTCAACCACCCCAAACTAGACTTGGGGTGTACCAAGGCTGAATGGTAGAGTGGCATTATCCTAGGCTAGCAAGCGGCCGAAATCAGCCCAGTTGACGACGGTCAGCGAGGAAGGCGGATCTTGTGGTTATGTAAAACCTCTGCAGAGTGTATGGTTGATCGATCGATACATATGCTGACTTGTCGGCTATGGACCTTTCCTGGGTTTCGCTTAAACTAGATAGTGAGATGAGTCCTTCTCTTCTCCCCCTGGGAGTGAGTGTTCGGACGTAGCCAGGGGCTACGGGCCATGAGACAGTGCCGAGAGGGAGTTGGCCTGTCGACTGAGCGATGGTATGGTTGTGATGTGGTGATGATGTGGAGATGGTGGTATATCGATCCCAGAATCGAAACCTGACTCTAGACGAAAATGGGTGGAATGGGTGTGGGATTGGTGTTAAAACTTGACCAACTGTTATTATATACTTGATATGCTAATACATAGGAAACCCAGCCTTATAGGTTCCTTTTGAATATATCCAACTTGCATCCAATTTCCACAAAGCAATGCTCATAGGGTAGGAGTGGCCAGTACAAATCGTACTGATAAATTTTGGCACACAGGTTCTGCTGAGGAGTATAGCTCTGAGGAGTTTGACGGTTGAGGGGTTCATTCCTATGCTCGAGTTTGGCGATCTTATCTTCAAGTTGTTCTGATTGAATGCTACTTTTGATTTCGCCAATGCGGCGATGTAATAATTTATGTAATTCCGCACTATTTGTACTCTGATATTATCGTTGAATGGACGTGGTATTCGACTGGAATTTGGGTAATATAATCTACAACGGTCATAATACACTTCGACTCTGTGGATTTCCCTTCGCGGAAATCAGGTTATTTCATCTTGTCCTTGGAGGATAAATGGGTCGAAACTGGATGGCAGCGCTACTATGGAGGTAAAATATTTTTTTGTATCACTTAATTCAATCATTCATCTTGTTATGTAATTTAATTTTTTTTGTTTTTGTAGGTAACCGTGTTAGTTGATAAACATGAATGTGTGTCTAGTGAGAGGATGCAGGTTACAACTCCAAGTTGCAAGTGGGTAGCTAGCAGGGCTGTGGATATCCTTAGAGTTGAACCAAACATTGGTACCAAGGAACTAAAAACGAGGTTGGAGACAAACCCAATACATAGGTGTATAATTGGATATGACACTGTACAGCGGGGTAAAAAAAGAGCTCTTGAAGAGATTTATGGGAAATGGTCAGATAGCTTTGAGCTATTGTTTAGGTGGAAGGCCGAGGTGATGAAGCGGAGTCCTGGGAGTGTCGTTGAGATCGATGTTCTTGAGGTAGATGGTGAGGTATATTTCCACTGTTTTTTCTATGCCCTGAAACCATGCATTGATGGATTCCTGGAAGGTTGTAGGCCTCATTTGAGCGTAGATGCTACAACACTTAATGGAAGGTGGAATGGTCATTTGGCTGCATCAGTAGCAGTTGATGGTCACAATTGGATGTATCCAGTCGCTTATGACTTCATAGCTCAGGAAACAACAGATAACTGGACTTGGTTCATGGAACAATTAAAGAAAGCTATAGGTGATCTTCTAGTCCTTGATGTTTGTTCGGATGCTTGCAAGGGCTTGGAGAATGCAGTGAAGAATGTATTCCCCAATGCAGAGCAAAGGGAATGCTTTTATCATATGGCCAGAAACTTTAAGAAGAGATTTAGAGGGTTTGGCCAGATATATCCTGCTGCAAGGGCTTACACAGAGGAGATTTTCTATGATAATATAGCAAAAATGATAAGTGAATCACCGTGCATCAATTACAATGGTTACAGCCAATCATAAGCTATTATGGTACAGTGTGGTTTCAATCCGTAAATTAAGTGTGACTATATAACTAGTAACATTGTTTGAGACATTTAATAACCGGATTAGAGACCATAAGGACTTACTGGGTTCTTGACCTTTGCCGATAAGATCGAGAAATGATCATGGTACTGTGGAACAAGGGAAGAATTATTGCATACAGGCTACCTGAAGGCAGGATACTCCTAGCAATTATGGTTCAGCTAAGGGCAAACACTAGAGGTTTGGGACACCTGAAAATTGTACCATGTTCTAACTGGAGTGCAGAGGTGTGGGACCATAGCAGAGCCGTTTCTGTGAGGCATATTGTCAAGCTAGGCCAAAGAACATGTACTTGTCTTGAATGGTAGCACACTGGTAAGCCATGTCAACATGTACTGGCCTATGCAACCCGCCAAAGGGGAGTGGATCTAGAACAATTTGTGCATGACTACTACTCTGTGAATAGATTTAGGGCTGCTTATGGTAGAGAGATTGAGCCAATGACAGATAAAACATAGTGGCCACATGTTGACCTACCATTTGGCGTTGGTGCACCTCTGGCTAAATTATCTGCTGGAAGAATGAGGAAACTAAGAATTAAGGGATGGGATGAGGGTGGACACAGGAAGAAAGAAAAATCTACCAATGAGGGTGAAGGTGAGAAGAGATGGGATGAGGGTGAAGGTGATAACGATACTGTTCCAACAAATGCAAAGGGACAGAAGATCATCAGAGGACCTATGACTTGCAAACGATGTGGAGAAAAAGGTCACAGGCAAGCTAGTTCCAAGTGCCCATACAATGGGACCGAAAAAAGGGGTAATTGATGATTTTCTTTATCGACTAACTTGAATGAAAATATCAATATTAATTTATTTCATCACTTGTAGGAAGCGTAGGCAACCTAGGAAGAATGTCACAGAAGAAGGATCGGCGGAACCTAGCACCCCACGGAGGCCAACCAGGGGTGAAATCCTACCAGATAGTCCAGGAAGGGTCACTAGAAGGTAAGGAATATTAACACATTTATTGTACACAATAATTGTTTTATATATACATCTAATTGCCGATCGTATTTATGTGCAGCAAGCTAGCGATGTTACTTGGAGAGGGCACATCTTCACAAACTGACAACGCTAGCCCCGTGAGGATGCCTACCCCGGTGCCACCAAAAAAGATGACTCCAAAAAGGAGAAAGCTAAACATTTGATGATGGAGCATTTTAGTTGTGATGAGATGTAACCTCATGATTTATTTTATATGACATTGATTTCGTTTGGAACTACATTATGGTCTTTTGAGATGAACTTGTTTATGCTACAAACATGGTTTTATGAGATAAACTCGTTGCTAAATTCTTGCCGTTATATATTACTTGTAATTGTGTATGAATCAATTCTTGTTATATATTACTTGGAACGTTGTTATATATTACTTGGAACTGTACATATATTACTTGTAACTGTACATGGCGGCCATTGCCACGGCCAGCAAGCCAAGGCAGCTGTGGCCAGCCAGCCATGGCCACGGCCAGCCAGCCAAGGCACCTGCGGCCAGCCAGCAAAGGCCATAGCCAGCCAGCCAAGGCAGCGGCCCAGCCAAGGCCAAGGGCCGTGGGAAGCAAGCAGCCAGCAGTGACCTTTTTTTTTTCAAAACGACGCAACAATCACTGTCAAAACACTGAAGGGTAAAACGGTCACGTTAGAAACAAATACATGTATTTAGATATTAAAAGAGATTAAAATGGTTTGAAATGTCATTAGAGCTTACTGTAATTGTTTAAAGTCCTATTTTAGAGAAACAAACGTTAGGAATCTATTATAAAAAACCCAACGTTTGGACTCATGTAATAGCCAATTTCTCGATTTTTCGATGCTACCCAACCCATTTTCTAAAAAAAAAAGAAATACGCATTTTCATGCCCTAAAACGCACCATATGACCCTCACGACCCGCGGCGCCCCCCTCGCCCCTGCCCTCTGGTAGTCTCGTCTCACTTCCAGTGGCGGCCGCTTGCCCCGCTATGGCCGCCGCCCCGCCGCCGCCGTGGCCCCTAATGGCACACCGCGAAGGAGGAGACGCCCCCGTCTCCCTCTTCCTCGACACCAATCTCGGCACCCATCTCGCCCTGCTCGTCGCCCCGGACACAGCCATCCGTGGCCTAAAGTGTACTCCCCTCGCGCTTCTTCTCCCTGTCTCTTCGTACGGCAGGTGCCCATCGGAACTGATTCGTGTGTTGATCTATGCGCAGCGCAGGTGGCCGCGGAGCACGCTGCCGCCTTCCCCGACCTCGGCCCCGTCACCATCAAGTCCTTCCAGGTCCTGTTTCGTAGCTCCGATGGGTGTTCGTTTTTTAGTGAAGTTTTGTGATTGCAATCAGCCCATGAAGATCGCATAGACGCATTTTTTAGTTTGGCGGTAGAGTTAGTTATATTTCAGTGTTAACTTATTGTTTCTAAGGTTTTGTCGATTGCTTCTTTGGGTGATAAGGTGATTTCAATCGGTGAGGGTTGCATGCTGCAGAGGATTCTTGATGGACTCAGTTGGTGCTGAATTAGTTGTCACACCTTGTGGCCCTATGAGGCCTGTGAATGTGATTTTCTCCATAAACATCAATAGTGCTGTAACTTTAAGTAATGGATGGGTGGTTCTTGCATGTAATCTGCCATCTGCTTTGTTGTGTTTTGACCCCCATTAATGTGAATATTGAAATTTAAAAGAGAGGAGCATCTTTTAGTACAATGCTGTGGAATTACTATCTACTGCACTACATGTGTGCAGGCTTTTTTTTCATTTGTACATAATGTACTGCATGCTAAGTCAGTCGGTGTAACTTTGGAAGTCTGTAACTAAGTCGAATGACTTGTGATCTTATTGCAGTTTCATAATCTGGCTAAGCTGTGCATGCAAAATTTTGGAAGGTCATATCGGATGGACATGATTCTTAAGATATATGTAAAATTATGAAATTATTATGTAAATCAAAGGCATAAGGTCGAAGTCACTTATTGATAATTGAGGGAATAACTAGAAGTTTAGCATTTCTATCTAATTGTACCAAAACCTTGCAAAAAGGGTATTGTTAGCTTATATGAGTGTTTTTTATTCACCAGGTCCGCCGGAAGGGTGTACTGTATCACCTCTCTGATTCAATGACAGTGATGAGTGTCTTCACCAAAATTAAAGGTGGGTGCTTTCTTCACGTCAATATGGCAGAGGCTACAACAGCCACACACTGCTGCCAAGATGCTCCAGCAACTGATGATAGAAGAGTGAGTGATGTTTGTCTTGGAATTCGTGTAAAGAACCATGTTGAGGAGCTGCCTGTGATGGCACCAGATGTTGCTTGTGATATGCTCTCTAGAGGTCTTGAAGGTAAACCGCACACCCTAGGAATTATCTCTGGCATATGAAACATATTAAATTAACATTACTTCTTCCTAATTTGCTTGTTATTTATATGCTTGGTTGACTGCATAATTCATTTCAACTGGATGTTCAAGTTCACGTATTTCCAAAAAGAATCTTTATGCATGTCTCTTGCATCAAGATCAATCTAAAGGTGTCTGTCACCCAGCAGATGCTAAAACTGCATAGCCATCCTATTCCACCGAGGAGTTTCTCCTTCATGTTTAAATCTCTCTTCGATGCATTCGCATTTTTTTTTGTAGAAAACAGCATGTGATTAGTAGTTGTCCTAAGTCTTGACCCTTGACGTGTGAGGTTGAAGCTGCTTGCTTTTTCATAGCTTATAATATCAGTTCTTCTTTTGTCCTTTACCTCTAGCTGTTGTAATCGAATTATCTCTTCTTTTGAAGGTGGTAATGATGATGCCGCGCTGAATAATGTTCGAGCACATGATGCATTGCCAAATTGTTCCTTGGTGCCATCCTCATCACAGCTAAATACTGAAATACTGAAGAACAAAGCAGTGGGTCTGGCCATTGATACAGAAGCAGGAATTGATCAAGTTATTGACAAAGCAAAGAGTTACAGTGGCCAGATAAAACAAGCTAATCAAACTGAAGGTGCTTATATTAGTTCCACATCAATGGCATGTGTTGATAAATCTTCAAACGAGAGTAATATGTCACATGCTGTGGAGGAGCTACATGCAAGTCGAGACCATGGCGTTGGTGATGATGTTTCTGACAAAAAGCAAGTCAGGGTAGAGGAGCAACTGCTGGAAGAGATACAAGCAAAGGAGACTCTTTCACAAGCAAAGGAGAACAAAAAATCTAGGACTGCTTCTTTTGACACATCATGTACTGTGGAATCTTTAAACACTTCTAATCATCAAGAAGTCCATGACACCTTACAAGAGGAGTCCATCCATTTAGAAAATCCAAGCACTCTTGGAAAGAAGAAGAAAAGGAAAAGGTGTCAATTGTCCCTGTCAAAATCTGCTTCTGCTCAAGAGACAACAGAACCATCAGCTACGGCAGTAGATTTATTAAAACCCACAGGTGAAGTTCTGCCTCATAACAGCCTAGGGATACAGATCCATAATATACATGCAATGGATAATCTTTCACAAGAAAAGGAGCACAAAAAATCTAGGACTAGTTCTCCTGACACATCAAGTAGGCATCTACTGGAAACAGACCCTACTTCTCTTAGGGAACCTTTAAACACTTCAAATCATCAAGTCCATGACACTTTACATAAGGAGTCCATCCAGCTAGAAAACCCAAGTGCTGCTGAAAAGAAGAAGAAGAAAAAGCGTCAATTGGCCCCTTCAAAATCTGCTTCTGCTCAAATAACGACAGAACCATCGTATGGGGCAGCCCCAGCGGATTTATCAAAATCCACAGGTGAAGTTCTGCCTCATAACAGCCTAGGGTTACAGAGTAATAATATCCATATATTGTATTACATTACTGAAAATTGTTTGTAGTGTAGCATGAGGTGCTATAATGTACCATATGACATTCTTTATGCTTGAATTCAATTGCAAACATATTTATGATGGGCTCGATATATTTCATCTTGCAACTTGGTGTAACCGCATGGTATGATACTTGAGCTGAACAACTAATAATGAAAAATCTGTCTATACATTTTTTTTCCTCTGGCCAAAACTTGGTGTAACTGCATGCTCTATAGTTGCCTTGAATGTCATATGTAGAACTATAAATCCACCTTATTTATCTTCTTAATGACAAATATCGAGAGTATTTTCATTGTTCAATGTAGGAGTACTGATTTCCTTTTATTTTTCTTATCATCCAGGTGACGAGGCATATAATGTTGAATTGACTGACAAAGATGAAACTATAGTCAAAGCATCTGGTTTGCCTCTTTCATCATCAGAACTTAATGATGGAAACCAGGGGAGCAAAAGTGTTCAGTTTGTGAGCAATGCTCAGGCATCTACTGATCTAATTTCTGAACAAGAGAAGTTTGATCATGCTCTCAAGGGATGTAGGGATCCTTCAATTGCAGATGCCATTTATTCTACAGGTGAAAGTGTAGCTATTGAAGGAAAAACTACAAAAGGAAGCTGCGCCCCTTTGGATGAAGGGGACAAGCATGAAGAAATAAAACAACACAATGAGGGATTTCACAATGAAGGTGTACCTGAAACAAGCAACATGGAGAAAGATGGCAAAAGTACAGATGTCTCTGACAAGAGGCAAACAGATCAAAATACTTCTCAAGTGAAGAAGCGCAAGAAATCAAAGGTTGGTTCTGTTGACATGCCTTCCGTGGATGCTACTGGTGAGAAAGATCATGGGTATAGTGAAAATGCTGCCAAACAAGCTACAGTTTCTACTAAAAGGGCGATTGTCCATGAACCTTCTATGCAACAGATGTCAAACATTGTGTATCAAGGGGATTCAAATATAATAGAAAATCCAAGTGGTGATGGAAAGAAAAAGAAAAAAAGAAAATGCCGCTCAGAATCCTTAAAGGGTATGAATCCTAGTCAAGATCTGACAAAATCTTCTGGATTTGTAACAAACGAAAGCTCGATACAATGCACAGATGCTACTCCAATAGATGCAAAGCAAACAACCCCGGGCATTATAGAAGGAGAAACGGTTACTGAGCACAAGAAGCTTAGTGAAAGTCTAGATGTAGCGGCAACAAATGTTATTGATGAGGTATTGGCAGATCTAAGATCTAAAGACAGCTTAAGTAAGGATCTGGATGCAGATCTTTTACCAGGACAAACTCACCTAGGCAGCAATCAGAATAGACTAGAAGTTCCTGAATCCATTGCTGTTAAAGTTGGTAGCGTTACTGCAGCATTACCTCCGAAATATCCTGCAGCGGTTCACTCTGCTTCTCCTGTTAGCTCACCTAGACAAAAGAAGTCTAAGGGGAAGAAATCGAAAGTGCTAGCAACCATGACTGACTCTTCTCATCAATCAAGTGGTGTACCTGAAGATGATGCTAATAGAGAATTAAAAGAGTCTGATTCTTTGAGGTTTGCTGATAAAACAAGTGATCTTGAGGATATAGTAACTGGAAATGTGGTTGCGCAAGCTGATGACAAACGCAAAGCCACTAAGCATCGAAGAAAGAAGGGTTCCGTAAAGCAAGTACTCGATACATTGGACTACAAGGAAACTAATGATACGGAAGAAAATTTGGTTCAGGGAGGTTCTGTAGTTGACACTCCTTTAATCACTGTTGGGAAAGTAGAGCAGAAAGACAGGTCTTCTCAGACTCTTGGGACCCATGATATTGAAAATGCTGCAGGGTCTCCAATCTTGCGTGTAGTTCAGAAAGATGCCATGGCTCTCGAATCTGCCAACCTTAATTCTCAAAAGGAAAGGAAAACATCTTCGAACTCTGAACTTCAAAGTCTGGATTGTGCCCTGGAACACGGTTTCAGTGCTGATTTGGTGAACTCCAGGACTGAAAAGGGAGTCAGCACTACAAGTTCTGCTAGTGCTGTTAAACCTGATTACCACACCGTGTTTCATCCTGCTAATGATGGAATCAATTTCCTTGATCATTTTAGCTGCAGCAATCTGAATGATGATCCATCAATAGCTGCAGAAAGTAAGCAAAACAATGAAGATGAATCTTTAAGGGAAGTGAAGAATAAAAAGAAGAAGAAACGAAAGCAACGTACTGGTAGCATTGAACCAAATGATGATACCAGCAAAGTTATTGTGCCATTTATTGCAACAGAAAACATGAACAGAGAAAATGAGAATGTGAATAACGGCAAGGAGAAGAAGAGAAAGGGCAAAGCTAATATGGAAGTACCTACTGCTGAAAGGGACAATCCTAATTGTGATAATCAAGGCATTAATATTGGTACCCAAGATTCACTTATTTCTATTGTACAAAAACAAAGGACAGGTCAGGACAATGGAAAAGAGAGCAACAGCAAAGTTACTCAGAATGTCAGTATAATGCTACATGAACCAGAAGATGCCACTTGGAATCATACTCCTGAGAAGAATCTCCACCAGAGTGTTGATGATCAGAGCAAGTTGCTCACTGAAAAGGATCATGCACATATAACTAAAGAAGTGAGGAAATTCACTTCTCAGACAAAGCCCCATGCTAAGATTAGAAAGCCTGATGGGTCTCCTATCAAGGGAAAGGTGGCTCCAAATCCTAAGCCTGTAAGCAATCTTGTGAAGGATTTTTCCATGAGCCCACAAGCGTCAAGTAACAGCATAGAGGGCACGCCACAAAATGCTAACCGATATAGAGTTGCAGTCCGGAAAGTCTCGAGTAAAAGGTATGAAGAGACCAGTGGAAACTCCAAAAAAGCGAGTAGGAAAGTAGGCTCTGGTGCAATATTCAATGACTGTATCAGCGAAGGTTCTGGTGATGAATTGGACACCAATACTGTCATGGAAGGATCACCTGATAGTTCATCTACATCTGCTGACTCAGGTGGGAACCTTAATGAGATAGTATCACATGGAATAGGATCGCATTTGCACTTGGTCATGCATTAATTCATTCCTTGGGATTTTTAACATCACTTCTTGGGGGTGGATACCTTCCTACAGTCAAAATTGGTGAAAAATTGCTGCCTCCTTTAGAATGCAGATCAGCCCACATCTAGTAGAGATATTCACATGTTCATTGGAAGTTCCTGCACTGATAAGTTCCTTTTTCTTCTCCTCTATCAATGCCATGCTTGAAAATGCTAGATTTACCATTGAAATGCTAGATTTGCCATTCTGGAATATTGCATTAATATCGCTGGTGCTGACGTACTCTAATTGGTAAAAGGTTCATCAGTTCTAGTTAACTTAGGACATGAATGTTTGTAGCAATCTACTCTCTTCAGAGCATGTTTTACAGGTTCATTATTCATCTAAACTGCTTATGGATTATTTTAGACGTGGCATCAGATATCCTGGTCCCCATGTGTCTAACCAATTTGCCTTTGGCAGGTATTTCATCTGCAGCCTATGAAAGCGAGGTTCCTGATGATGGCACCGTATCACTGTAAGTTCTCTGACCTGCAAACTGAGAAAATAGTTATTAGAGAAATGCCTATTTTCTTGCATCAGCTTGCAACGATGTGGATGAGCAAGTATAAATGTTGCATGGTAGGCATTATAGTAACCGAAACCTAATACATACTGGGTCTAGGGGAAAAGGTGTTCTGATACTGACCTAATATACACTGGGTAGAGGATAACGGTGTTTCACCAAATACAGCGAAGTGCTGTAGAGTAGCTGCCTGTAGAATAACCTTAGCTGGTTGCAACAACCATACAGTGACTTGTTTGATAAAACTGTATGTCTACTACTTACCCCTGTTGTCCAGGTTCAGAATCCCTTATTTTGGAACTGAGTTAGTAACAGTCATGATTGTTTCCTTCTCGTCAGCTGAAGCTTACTGACACCTGAGTCGCTTTCCTCCCACTTGTTCAGATCTCAGAAGAGTCTCAAAGGTGGCCTGGATATTGGCTCCATCCTCCGTGGTTCCCGTAGCTATCAGAAGGCAAGAAAGAAGCAGGCGGAGCTGTTAGATGATGACACCATTGTGCCTGATAGCCAGCCCACGGATGGCCTTTGGGGCTGAACATGGTAATAATGAAGAGAAGCACTGACCCTGCTTCAACCTTTTGCCATTATCCACCTGACCACCTGATACGGTGCAGGTTTCAGGCGAGCCCCAAAGCTGATGGGCTTTACAAGAGTTGTAGCCGAACCTCCCATAATAAGTTGTCTACACCATATGCCCAACTGCGTGATGTTGATGGCATTGTTGTCGGTTATGGCCATACACCACACGCAGTTCCTAATTTTAATTGGGCTTAAACTGTGTTCTGCCTGAGGATGAATCGATGATGTTCATGATACAGCTTACTAGCTATATATGTAAAGAACAATATGCATGCTTAGTTTCTCATTCATGAGCCATGGGTCCTTTCAATTTATGGTAGTAATGTTCCCGCAATAAGTTCAAAATCCTGCGGAGTCCTGACTGATCAGATCTTGTGTGACAAATAATTCGTCTGAACGGGACTTGCAGCCTCCCACGGTCCCAGGGCTGCAGCGAGTTCTACCCTTCTGGGCATCCCCTTCTGGCCTTCTCCACTATTCCTCTCCCCCACATATACAAAATCTCGCCGGTGCTCCGCCCTGTACCGCCGGCGTTAGCTGTTGTGGATTGCGTATTTTCAGTTGTTTGTTTTTTTACTTCTTTTGCGATGCATTCAATGACTCCATGTGAGTACATATTCTCTTTCAAACAAAAACATTGCATACACGATACATATAGTACCTAAAATATACAAATCATACATGAGTAGAAGACAATGGTTAGAATCAGTTCAGGCCGCAGCATCTACTCATTTGTACAAAGCTGGAACGGCATGTGAAAGCTACGTTCCAGCCACACCTCACCGCATCGTCAAACTACAAACTATCACGGGGTGCGAGACAATCTTGTCATCTGCGCTTCTGGGTCTTCATCCCTGATGTTGTCCGTCTTGCCCATGGATTTCTGGCTGAGCATCCGGGCTACCGAGTTTCGCAGCCTCTGCGCCTGGGACTGGGATCCATTGGCAGACTGGCTGCCACCCATCGTCCTCTCGAGCTCTGACAAGAGCGCCTTCACAAGGTCGTCAAAGCGGCGCTTTGCTGTAGGATATCTAGATATCGACTTTGTGATTCCTTGCAATCTTGCAGCAGCAGAGTGAAAAGATGGATTAGTAAACGTCCATGTTTGCATCCTCCATCAAAATAAAGGCTGAAGGGGAGGACGGAGGAGATACCTGCGAGCAAATGCGTCTATATCTGCCTTTTTACGCTCAGTCAAGGATGGAACATGAGGCAGAGAACCTTTCAGGCGACTGGGATCACCAGCCAACAGCACTCGCATTTTCAGATATTCTTCCTCTTCTTCAGTGAAGTTCTCAGCTTTGATTTGTTCCTTTATAACCATAAGCGGGTCAAAGAACCAATCAAAGATGGTATGTTTAGGTCGATTGTCAGATGTAATCTCAGAGCCGTCACCTGCATATTTTTCCAAAGCAAGTCAAGCTAGAGCCATAACAACAGTTAAAATGGAATGACACCTAATTTTGTTGTGCACGTACTTAAAATTAGCCCGACAGAATCAGCTTTTGCAGACCGAAGGAGTGCATTAAGGATAACATATGCTGGTAGACCAACATTAAGAACACCGCTGCCAACTTTTCCAGACTTCGTTTCTAGGGGAAAAGGTGTTCTGATACTGACCTAATATACACTGGGTAGAGGATAACGGTGTTTCACCAAATACAGCGAAGTGCTGTAGAGTAGCTGCCTGTAGAATAACCTTAGCTGGTTGCAACAACCATACAGTGACTTGTTTGATAAAACTGTATGTCTACTACTTACCCCTGTTGTCCAGGTTCAGAATCCCTTATTTTGGAACTGAGTTAGTAACAGTCATGATTGTTTCCTTCTCGTCAGCTGAAGCTTACTGACACCTGAGTCGCTTTCCTCCCACTTGTTCAGATCTCAGAAGAGTCTCAAAGGTGGCCTGGATATTGGCTCCATCCTCCGTGGTTCCCGTAGCTATCAGAAGGCAAGAAAGAAGCAGGCGGAGCTGTTAGATGATGACACCATTGTGCCTGATAGCCAGCCCACGGATGGCCTTTGGGGCTGAACATGGTAATAATGAAGAGAAGCACTGACCCTGCTTCAACCTTTTGCCATTATCCACCTGACCACCTGATACGGTGCAGGTTTCAGGCGAGCCCCAAAGCTGATGGGCTTTACAAGAGTTGTAGCCGAACCTCCCATAATAAGTTGTCTACACCATATGCCCAACTGCGTGATGTTGATGGCATTGTTGTCGGTTATGGCCATACACCACACGCAGTTCCTAATTTTAATTGGGCTTAAACTGTGTTCTGCCTGAGGATGAATCGATGATGTTCATGATACAGCTTACTAGCTATATATGTAAAGAACAATATGCATGCTTAGTTTCTCATTCATGAGCCATGGGTCCTTTCAATTTATGGTAGTAATGTTCCCGCAATAAGTTCAAAATCCTGCGGAGTCCTGACTGATCAGATCTTGTGTGACAAATAATTCGTCTGAACGGGACTTGCAGCCTCCCACGGTCCCAGGGCTGCAGCGAGTTCTACCCTTCTGGGCATCCCCTTCTGGCCTTCTCCACTATTCCTCTCCCCCACATATACAAAATCTCGCCGGTGCTCCGCCCTGTACCGCCGGCGTTAGCTGTTGTGGATTGCGTATTTTCAGTTGTTTGTTTTTTTACTTCTTTTGCGATGCATTCAATGACTCCATGTGAGTACATATTCTCTTTCAAACAAAAACATTGCATACACGATACATATAGTACCTAAAATATACAAATCATACATGAGTAGAAGACAATGGTTAGAATCAGTTCAGGCCGCAGCATCTACTCATTTGTACAAAGCTGGAACGGCATGTGAAAGCTACGTTCCAGCCACACCTCACCGCATCGTCAAACTACAAACTATCACGGGGTGCGAGACAATCTTGTCATCTGCGCTTCTGGGTCTTCATCCCTGATGTTGTCCGTCTTGCCCATGGATTTCTGGCTGAGCATCCGGGCTACCGAGTTTCGCAGCCTCTGCGCCTGGGACTGGGATCCATTGGCAGACTGGCTGCCACCCATCGTCCTCTCGAGCTCTGACAAGAGCGCCTTCACAAGGTCGTCAAAGCGGCGCTTTGCTGTAGGATATCTAGATATCGACTTTGTGATTCCTTGCAATCTTGCAGCAGCAGAGTGAAAAGATGGATTAGTAAACGTCCATGTTTGCATCCTCCATCAAAATAAAGGCTGAAGGGGAGGACGGAGGAGATACCTGCGAGCAAATGCGTCTATATCTGCCTTTTTACGCTCAGTCAAGGATGGAACATGAGGCAGAGAACCTTTCAGGCGACTGGGATCACCAGCCAACAGCACTCGCATTTTCAGATATTCTTCCTCTTCTTCAGTGAAGTTCTCAGCTTTGATTTGTTCCTTTATAACCATAAGCGGGTCAAAGAACCAATCAAAGATGGTATGTTTAGGTCGATTGTCAGATGTAATCTCAGAGCCGTCACCTGCATATTTTTCCAAAGCAAGTCAAGCTAGAGCCATAACAACAGTTAAAATGGAATGACACCTAATTTTGTTGTGCACGTACTTAAAATTAGCCCGACAGAATCAGCTTTTGCAGACCGAAGGAGTGCATTAAGGATAACATATGCTGGTAGACCAACATTAAGAACACCGCTGCCAACTTTTCCAGACTTCGTTTCTTCAATGTCTTTCATTGTTATCACCCCTTTGTTAACCAATGCCTCCCCCTGGTTCCTGCATTCGGCAAATAGGTGGTCCAGCAACTGCATAATGGTATCATTCAGTTACATAGTGCCCTGACTTCATATGTTTACATATTGCTAGCAGTACAAAAACATTTTTAATGAAGATTTGTTTGCATAGTGAATAATCTATTCTAAGCATGTACTTTGCCGACTGGACTGTACAGAAAGTGAAGGTCTACAGAGTTTGGAGTGCCAATAAGCAATGACATTGCAGCCTGACTATTTTAGGAGAAAAGAATCACCTTGAATGGATTGAACTCATCAATGCTGTTCTTAAATGAAGTAACACGAGATGGAGGTCTTTTCCCTTCTTGCTTCTCCCTGTTGAATGAGGCTGGTCTGGATAACGGAGCACTGTTTCCGTGTGAAGACTCACCTTTGCCCTTCCGATATTTAAATCTATAGATTTCAAAAGTCAACACCAGGCATTTTGAATTGTTTACCATAGCAACCAAAGGCATTCAGTATTGATTTACCTTGGAAAACAAGAACCAGGTGCCATGTCGAGAACATCGTTCGTGTATTCATCAAATATAGACACTGATGAGAACACATAGGCAAGTCCCATGATAAAGGAGGATTCCTGAGACATGAACAGGATCAAGCTTCATGACTTCAACAGCAACAGGTTAAATGAGCTAATACTTCATCATAAGGTGGCAGTGCTTGCTCAATGAATGATGTGACGAAAGTATGCATTGTTTGTCATCAGTGCACTGAAAAAAGGGGGAATTTTACCATACCTGATAAGCTACAACTGCACCATAAGCACCTAAAGGGACACTGGAGAGTATGGATGCCAGAACAGCTCCTACTACAGCAAATGGCCAAAGAAGAATAGCAAGACCAGCAAATGGCACACAAGCCGTCTCCAGGAAAGGCCCTTCTCTCCCAATCATATCCTGGATCAGTCGTTTCCATCCTTTGAAAAGCATCACAGGGCACTTATAGAAGGCAATTAATGTGAACATTATTCCATCAAGTAGAAGCCCCAATGCGGCCGCTATCAGTGCACCAGGAATATCAAGCAATCTGGGAAAAAGAAAGTCATGTATGTTAGTTTATTTTACATTGTTCTTCAGATGAAAAATAATCAGAAAAGTGCCATCTCAATGCAAAGTACTGGAACAGTGGATTATATTATTCAAAATGACTGTCTGAATGCATGCTTTTTTTCAAATGTTATCTCAAGTCAACCATAAAGAGTGGTTCTTGCACATTAAATCTGAAGGCCTAATGCTAAAAGGAGAAAAGAGGAAAAAGTAACAACAAAAGTCTATGGTCTTGAGGTGTAAAGTTCACAGATATATACAGCGAACAGTGAACAGGATGCAGACCTTATCTCATATGGCTCCCCATCAGGAGGTTTCTGAAGACGAAGGTCATCCATAATTGAAAAATAGGAGTGGAAAAGCAAATCTTTCACGTCCCTGACTACTGTACAGCTTCCAGTGATAGTACTCCATGTTCCATCCTACAGTTCAGAATAGCAAGCTAAGCAACCTCTAAAAGATATGGTAACAAACGACCACAGAGATAAACATAAACAACTCATACAAAGAAAAACTTACCACAAAGCAATGGACAAATGGCTTTTCTTTGCCTTCTCCAACTGCATCAAATGTAGCCATTATGGGTGCTAGAAAACCATATACTAGTCCAGCAAATACACTTCCCGGGATGCCAATTATCAACCATACGATCAAGACTGCAGTAGCAGCAATAAGAAGCAGAAGCTTTACTACAGGTCCCACCAGCTTGGTTCTGCCTCAAGAAAATGGAGGAAACCAAATGTGAGCACTTTCGGTTAGTAATTTAATGTGAAGTTGCCAAAAATGGAACTGCAGGACATGTACCTGATAATGCAATAGTATGTCCAAATCAGATGCATAGGCCATAAGCCCAGGATTAGTGCAGATATTCCAATTGCCATAATCAGACATGCCCAAGGGCACAACAAAACACCTGACAAATCAACCAAATAATGTGAAATGAGGATTGCGTATCATATACCATGTGTCATTCCATCATTGTTTTTGTAGTAATATGTCGTTTCATCATTTCATCTCCAAAATTGCATTAACTTTTCGGTTGCAGATACTTGTAATTTTGACCGCAGTACATGAATAAATAACTGAATTTTCATTCATAAACAAGCAGTCAAGAAGCCAAAGACACTGGACTGAAACCTAAGCATGACGATAATTCTTACACAGAACAGGTAAAGGGACATTTTCAGAGACTAGCCCCCAACAGGTTCTAGTTCCAATGAAACCCGGTCTGAGAATTTCCAATTATTTAAACTTACCCTGCCGCACTGTGAACGTTTAGTTCAAGTCAAAGAAGAACCTAACTGAAAAAAGGACAGCCCACCAATTATTTAAATGGTCCTAACTAATTTCTAAAGAACAGGGAGGAAATTCTGAATCAAGCAGCCCTGTACGAGCAAAAGGGGAAATCAAGAGAGGCAACCAGTTAAAGGCAGAGAGGTTGCACGATGGTTGCTGACAGCCCTGAGCCCTCCCATTTTACCATCAATCAAACGAACTAAATGCGTGGATTGAAATCAGCAGAGAGAAGAAACAGAACTGCAAGTCACCTTTGATGAACCCAAGGATGAGGAGGCCGCAGAAGTAGGGCAAGAACTTGAGGAAGCTCAAAAGCGAGGCCCAGAACCCAGTCGGCGGCTCCATTGGCAACTTCCTCGGGCTCGTCCAAAGACTCGAATTTTCCTCCAAAGCTCCCGATTCTTAATAACCACCGAAAGATTTCTAGATAACCAAAATCCTCTCGATCATTCCTTCCTCCAAGCCGGTTCCTGTCAGAATTCTCAATTCCGCAGAGAGCTCACAGGCGAGAACCCAGAACCCAGGAATACCTTGTTGGGAGGGGAAAGGGAAACTGCGCGCTCCTCCACCGTGTCTCCAGTTCCATCCAAACTCATAGGATCCGGAGATGGAACCGTGAGGAGGAGAACCGCAAGCGGCGTCAGCAAGAAGACAGGGGAAGTGGGACCGCCTCCGGTGACACACAGGCGTGCCGTTGGCAGGAGGTTGGGGGGGAGACGACTCTGGGGACTCTTGAGGGTAAAAATTGCAGAGAAGCTGCTGGTAGTGGTGGTGGGCAAGAGAGTAGTTGCCACCACAGTCCGCAAAACTGCAACTCCATCAAATCATCCACCGGTGGTGGTGGGGAGGAAAGGTGAATGGAACTGATTGGCTCCGGCCTCCGGCGGTCGGGCCTCCGACTCCGAGTAGTGGGAAAATAATGCGAGTGATTATATGGACGCCGCGGGCTGTGATGACTGATGAAGTGAGGAGCGGGTCAGGGTGAGGCTGCTGGAAGGCAAGGCAGGCAGATTCGTTGCCGTTGGGTGAGGGCAGGAGGGCGGCGCTGTTTGCTTGGCTTTGCTTTGTTTTGTTTATCGGCCAGGATGCCGTCACGCACTCACGCCGTTCGTCCCGCTGGAGAGCGAGGGCCT